GTTACACTTGAATATAGGTCCAAGCTTATCTATATATATGCCTGTAATAGCCATCAAACACAGACGTTTTGTGAATAGAATTCATTCCACTTTTCCTATATGGTTGTGTAAAAGTGTTCAGTGAGTAGATTTTGTTTATACATTTAAAATTTGACCATTCAAGAACAAGATTCAAAGACTTAAACATCATGACAGAATGTATTTTTCTTTCTAAATTAATATTATTTTAATTCTCACAATTGGAATCCCGCTCTATCCAATTAAGAGGAAATTCACATGATTTTTAAACAATCAATGGCTCATCCATCAATGTGTTGACTATATATAGTGAGCCCTTTGAAGAAGTGATTTTTTTTTTTAAATCAATAAGAAATTAATTATAAATATAAGAATAATTATATTAAATTAGATAATTATAGCTCAACAATCAACCACCACAAAAATAATTCAATACAAATTTCATGATGAAAAAAAAAATCAAATTGCCTTTAACAAGAATTAATTTTCTAACTTAAATAAGAAGTACACAGAAATAGATAATTAAACTGACTCTGCACGACGCAAGAGAGCCATTCCTAATTGGTTCCTTTGGGTGAAGTCCTTACCAGACCATGATATGATGAACTTGATCTGTTACCCAACTTGATGTTGGATTGTGTTGGAAATGAGCTGGGAGCAAGCTGGTCAATTTTTAGAATGGAACACATCTATTAATGTTGCCCACCCCAATAGAGCAGAAGAAATGCCTACAATTTTTTTTTCTCTTCATATTTTAAAGATAATCCCTTCCTTCTAAATTTGTTTTATTTGAATCATAGCAATCCTGTGGTTGAGTTTTAAATTTTTATTTTAAAAATTAAAAACAAAAAAAAAAATGAAAATTCAGGTGGGTGCAACCCTAATATCAACTTTGTAACATTTTCTATTAAATTGACAAATTTTCTATAAACTAAACACATGAATATGAACCCTCAACATGAATGCAAATCTCACATCTCATATGTATAATTGATAAAATAAAAATTAATAAAAATCAGTACAACAGTCATCCTTATGATAGTAGATGTTACAATATATATAAAGGGAAATGTTAATTAAAATTTGATACCTAGACTTGTCCGCATTGATGTGGTAGAGAATTAGGTTTTAAGTGGATATTTTCGGAACTAATCAATAACTGATGTAAAGTGGTCCTTATTATTGTAGGTAAATTTATGGGCAAATTACATATACCTCCCTCGAGGTTTAGTTAAATTACAGATACTTCCTTGAGGTTTCAAAAATTACAGATACCCCCTGGGATTTATATTTTCATAACAAATTACCCCATGAGATTTATATTTTCATAACAATTTACCCCTAATTTGTTATGCAAATAGTACCTTCATGGGGGTATCTGTAATTTCTCAAACCTCAAGGGGGTATCTATAATTTTGCTAAACCTCGAGGAGGTATATGTAATTTGCCCTAAATTTAAAAGGAAAAATTACATGCATGTGGCAGAAGAGAAAAAAATTACAAATATATGGAAAGTAAGTGTCTATGATAGAATGCAAATAAAAGGCCATGAGGGTGTAAGTGTCACTTGTATCCCTCCATGTGTTAATAATTTTTTTTCCCTTTTCTTTCACCTGCATATAGTTTCCCAATTTAGAAATCAAATCTCAAGGTTTTTTTTTCCATAAGAATATGTAGACTGTTAGCATTTATTCTTGGAAAAATTACCACTCAGTGGTACTTGCACAAAATTATTATAAATTGATGAAAAATTTTAAGACATTAATATCAATAAAATTTCTAATTATTTTTAGAACCTATACTGATATTAAAATTCCCTTTTAATTCTTTCTAGAAATTTTGTAACTACCAAATATGATGCAACAAATTTTATGCAAAAAATAACACACTCTTATTTTAGGCGGTGGAATCAAAAAATAAGGTCAATCAAGCAGTAGTGTTATGAATATAGAAATCAAACACAGAATGGGACTATGAGAGAATTGTATCTCATTCTATGTCTAGGTACTCAGAGTGATTTAGTGTCATGTGAGTCATCATGCTCAAATGACATTTAAATGTGTTTATCATATCATTAATTAATTGTGTGAGATTTAGAAATAAGAAGAATATTCATAGAGTCAATATTTAAAAATAATATTTGGAAAATATGTGTCTTGTTGCGTAAAAAGCGCAATGTTCTCTGCTTAGATTTTATTTATTTATTTATTTTGCTTCTCTACTTAGATCTTAGAAGACTCTTCAAATTAAAATTGTCTTCTTCTTTTTTCTTTTTTCTTTTCTTTTTTAATGTTTTGCCAATTTTTTCAAAATGAGAAGTTTCTTTGATTCAAAGTTCCTTTTAATTGATAATTATTTAATGTATGCATGTCTACATGGAATAGCAGTTACAGCTAAGATGAAAGTTATAGCATGGAATTCTCAAACTCAGCACCCGTTTGGAAACATGCTAATTTAGTAACTTTTTGATTATTTAACTAAAATATGAGCTAAAAAAAACTAGTATGTTTGGGATAATTTTTTGACTTTTTACGAAAAGATGTGCAAAAAGTAGAGAGATAGAAAATCTTTGACTTTTTGGTATGAATTATTAGCTTTTTAGCTAATTTAATAATTTTTTAACTTTTTGACTAAAATAGAGGGTTCCCAAACGAGCCAATACATTATCGGTTGTATAATAATGTATCGTGCGATTGAAACTTGAAAGTTTATTGAAAACAAAAGTTAAAGATCCTGACTAAAAATTGACAAAATAAAGTCTTCTTTATTTCATAGAATTTTATCACTATTACTTACAAGCTCTCTTTCTCTTGAAAAAGAAATAAAATAATAATCTTATGATTTAACTAAAAGTGTCTCTACAACATAAGAAAAAAGATTAATAAATACATAAATAAATTGAAAAACACAAGACGCTTCTCACTAAATTCAATGTATTTTTTTATTAAATTTAATACACTTTTTGATATTTTTACTTATTTTTAAGACACATTTTATGCCAATCCTAAAATTAAATGATATCCCAAAGACACTATTTAGCATTTGTCTAATCTAACTAACATCTTAGAGTATTCAGGCGGTGGGAAGTTGTAAAGAGTTACACTTAAATATGGGTCCAAGCTTATTTATATATATATGCCTGTGATAGCCATACGTTTTGTGAATAGAATAGGTTTAAAACTCTATTCCTTCCACTTTTCCCATATGGTTGTGTAAAAGTGTTCAGTGAGTGGGTTTTGTTTATACATTTAAGATTTGACCATTCAAGAATAAGATTCAAAGACTTGAACATCATGACAGGAGGTATTTTTCTTTCTGAATTAATATTATTTTAATTCTCACAATTGGAATCCCGCTCTATCCAATTAAGAGGAAATTCTCATGATTTTTAAACAATCAATGGCTCATCCATCAATGTGTTGACTATATATAGTGAGCCCTTTGAAGAAGTGATTTTTTTTTTTTAAATCAATAAGAAATTAATTATAAATATAAGAATAATTATATTAAATTAGATAATTATATCTCAACAATCAACCACCACAAAAATAATTCAATATAAATTTCATGATGAAAAAAAAAATCAAATTGCCTTTAACAAGAATTAATTTTCTAACTTCTTAAATAAAAAGTATACAGAAATAGATAATTAAACTGACTCTGCACGACGCAAGAGAGCCATTCCTAATTGGTTCCTTTGGGTGAAGTCCTTACCAGACCATGATATGATGAACTTGATCTGTTACCCAACTTGATGTTGGATTGTGTTGGGAATGAGCTGGGAGCTAGCTGGCCAATTTTTAGAATGGAACACATCTATTAATGTTGCCCACCCCAATAGAGCAGAAGAAATGCCTACAATTTTTTTTTTTTCTCTTCATATTTTCAAGATAATCCCTTCCTTCTAAATTTGTTTTATTTGAATCATAGTAATCCTGTGGTTGAATTTTAAATTTTTATTTTTAAAAATTAAAAACAAAAAAAAAAATTGAAAATTCAGGTGGGTGCAACCCTAATATCAACTTTGTAACATTTTCTATTAAATTACCAAATTTTTTATAAACTAAACACATGAATATGAACCCTCAACATGAATGTAAATCTCACATCTCATATGTATAATTGATAAAATAAAAATTAATAAAAATTAATTATAAATATATTTTACTTAAAATATAATTTATCCTCTGTAATTTTAAAAATTACATCATGTCCCTTGAAATTTCTAATTTCATAATAAATAATTTTTTAATTAATAAATTATCAAATCAATTAATAATTTTTACTGATATCAAAAATTGATATCAATTAATAATTTAAATAATTTTATCATTGTAGAGCAGAATAATTCATAATTTCATTTTTTTAATTAATCCTGTTAAATGAAATTTGTTGACAATGGAATAGTTATAATTTTTAAAACTATAAAAGATAATTCATAGTTTAAGTAAAAATCTCAAAGGTGTTTTTGTAATTTATCCCAAAATAAAATAAAAATGAAAAATGATACATAGGTGGGTGGGTAAAGTCGGCGTATGTTGAATTGCTCAACGAAAGCAATTTCTACAATTGCTGGAAATAAGACAACCCTTTTTTTTTTTTTACATTTTTTTAATTTCAATTTGGAAACACTTGATTTCAAGCACAAGAAAAATGTTTCTCACTAATCCTATGCACAAGATTCATTACGAGTAATGTTAAGTGGCCTACTGGATTGATGATATCTAAATGTAATATGTGGTCAGTCCCAGTAGTATAATCTTATTATTTTACTATTATTATAATTAAGTAATCTATTCAATGATAATATTAAAAAAACAAAACAGATCTCAAAAAATTGTTTGTAGTAGTGTAAACAAGACCTCCGACTGGGAACGAAAATGACTACTACTGGGTCAAATATCAACACACTGAAAGCCGTTCGTTCAACTAACTCCCACTTCTGCACGCAAAAGGGTACAGTTGTTGACTCGCCCAGAAAAGAAAAGAAAAAGTAGGTTACCTGTAATTGAGAAAACAACAGATAAGAGTCCATGAAGACAATGTCACTCTGAAGCCTTGGTGGTAAAGGGAGAGAAGAACATCATGTCCAAAGTGAAACTTTTAATTGACAACAAAATTGTCCTCCAAGGACAAATTCCTCTAGTTCAGTATAGTTCCGGGTAATGCAGCATATTGAACTACAAAATATATGCTGCCGTGTATCAAACTACTTCTATGTCAATTTCTTTCACGTAAAACCTGTAAAAATTCCAGTTGATTAACTTCTGTCTTCATGTACTTTTTACTATTCAATATTGGGATGATGCGAATGGAGAACAGCAGGAAGAGATATCGATTCCAGCGACCTCCATGGCATTGCAGACCCACTCGGGAACATCACCCTTTGGGAACTGCAAAATAATATCAACAGCAGAATTCTTAAGAACTCGTTGCAAGTAGCGCAAGAAGATGAAAAGCCTCCTTGCCCAATTGAATAGTTATATAAACAAAACTCTAGGATTATTCTGTGAGCACTATATCAACTATCAAGTAGCCAGATTTAGATAATTCTAGGTAAATCAGGACATAATGTGGAATGACACATGTAGAGAAGGAAAAGCAAATCAATGACAAATTATAGCAATCATTATCAAAAATAATTTACAAAGCAAAGAATTAGTAACCCCATTTTCTCTCTGCTGTCTAAAAAGAATAAAAGAAAAATACAGAACCATATATCAAATCTCTGCATGTATATTTATACACGCATGCACAGACGTTGGACATTACAGCATGGTTCATCCAAGGTACCTTTTTAATTTTCCTATTGACACACTTTATGATACTATGAAAAAGTAAATAGAAAGGAAGGAAACTGTAAATGGAGATAAGAGTTGAAAGATACCAAAAACTACATAATCTATGATCTTACTGTTTATTTGACAAGCACCCTAGAGAAAACCCACACAGTAGACTCCATGTTAAAAAATAAAAGTGTATATGAGATTCTACATTTCAGTAAATTGGCACATGGCAATATATGTTCTTACAGTTCATATCAAGGCTTCAAAACTCCAGATATACCATATTAGAAGGTAAATATCATAACAAGAAGCCAATGGATTCCACAGGTAAACTCCAGTGGTGTTAATACCCTAGACCTGGGTTCAAGTCATGTGTAGGAACTCGAGCACCATCTTCATCACCTAATCTAATATTATCATTTGATGATTCATAAACATGCAAGTGCCAGAAAGAGTACCAGACTGCATCAAATGCCCACAACACAACGAAGAGACTGCAGTTGTTAGTAACACAGAAAACTTTACCTCGGTTGAGAGAGACAGAGAGAGTCAATCAGCATTGTGCACAATAACATCTTGTCAATGTGCTAGAGGAAAAGTAAAATCACACAAAGAGATTAATATAAGGGCCACTCTCAGCATACCATTTTCTGTAAGAAGCCACATACAAACCTGCAGGAAGGGGAAAATGTAGTGTTAACCAAATAAATATAACTTCAGAAATTGACTGAAGAGGATACATATATGCATAAAGTTCTCCACTGTAAACAACTAACCGGTAGAGATAAAAATGAGAACAAAGAAAAAATAAAAGTTGATAACTAAACAAAACAAAAGGCACACATACTCGGGAAACTGTCCTCCAATAATCGACGAGTGTAGATCATTGCTAAGCTGCAATTTTGGGAATAATTTTACATTCAAATATATATAAACAATCAATCAAAAATTTATTCAGTACAAAGTTTTTAGGTCAGTACCTTCATCATGTAATACAAGTTGTGATATGACAGAAGCTGAGATCCCATAGCATCTTTTGTAACAAGGCAATGAATGTAAGCTCTTGTATAGTTTTTGCAGACCTAAAGCAAGATCAATAAAACAAGTTGGAGATATGCCATAAACCAATTTACAATCTGAGGCAATAAGCCTTCCAAATACAGCATACCATGCACATGCATGTAGGATCAATGGGGCGGGTATCATCAGCCATTGCTCTGTGCTTCAGCTTTAGAACTCCCTACATGAACAACTTTGTATTAGTGGAAGCAGTAGGAAAGTCGCTCTTTAAGCTAATAGTCATGCCCCATTACATTAACCACTTCGTAGGGTTAATAAAGTCTTTGCCCCCGGGCAAACAATGTGCTCCTCATTTAAACATAAACATTGTCTTACTGGTTTTTTTGGTGTAATTTGCTGTGTTCAGAAAAATAAACCTAGTAGACCTTATCTTTACTTTTCTCCTCAACCTACAATACTCTCTAGTATTTGTCCATTAGTTTCTTGTTGATTTTCTTGTGTAGGATTGGTCCCCTCCAAAAAATCTACCGGAAGCTTCAAATAAGTTATTCGCATTAAAAATATCAAAACCAAGATAACAACATGCTTAAAAGAAAGATATGACGTTCCTCTGAGGGTGTAGCGTATACAAAAAAATGGTAACATGGACAGTTAAAGAGTCTTCCAAACAAGTAATAATTGTTTTTGAAACAAGTAATAATTGTTGGTCTGTGTAAAATACTCCTCTCACCCATAACGTAAAGTATTAAAAAAAGGGAGTTCCTAGGCGTGAATAAACTAGCATTAATTTATATATATATATTCACTCCTTTTGAGTTTTTAGTAGACAAGGAACCAAATTAGTGAGATATTTATTGATCAGATGTGGCAAGCAAGCACTTCTTTTGCATCTATGTTGGTGTTAAAGTACAATTCAATTAAGTTCAACGTATATTAAACAAGAAGCCACAAACCTCAGGTATAAGAGCTGTGCCAAAGCGAGCAGTACGGGTAGGATAGACACAGTCATACATGTCAGCACCCAAAGCACTGCAAACTACAATATCCAGTGGATAGCCAACGCCCTGAGAAAATAACAATATATCAAGAAAATGAGAAGTAGAAGCTGAAACTATATTACTGTTTCATACCATAACATATCGTGGTTTATCCTCAGGCAATGAAGCAGTACACTGAGCAACAACACGCCAAAATGAATCTTTATCTTCACCTCCTGAAAGACCACCAATAGCATAGCTGTCTCACAAGTAAACTCAGTTATTTCAATCCCTTGATCACTGACCACAGTACTGCCAACATAGTTCTGAACTAAAAAAAAATTATTACCAAGCAATCAATTCCCAGCAACACGTGCAAGAAAGTTCAACAAATAGAGTTGTAATTCACTAGCACGCGTAAAAGTCTCTGACTGAACAATTTAGCCATTGAAGATGAAGGGCATAAAAAAAACATTTAAAAAAAAAAAGAAGCAAAGCATGACCAACAAACACCACCACCAGCCTAATGCCACTTGTCTACAGTATATTGATAGGGTAATAAGTTCAAGTTTTCCCAGAAAATTTTTAAGTTCAATGCCACTTGGCCCAATATCTTATAGGCAGGCATTTGTTACCTAGTTGCTATGAACACTTAAAAGTTAATGTACAACAAGAGAGAAAAATAAAAATAAAAATAACCTATTAGATTATCAAAATAAAACATGACCCCGTTTCCCTTTAGACCATTGATACAGGACAAAACAACCTATGGCATACAATTACATGACTAAGAACGTCCAAACTTTTACCAACAACACTCAATCTAGCTTCAGTTTCAGCATACTATTCCTTAACTTGGCAGAATTGGTTAAAAACAAGATTCTTTGTAGCTCCTTTCCTCCAGCAATGAATTTATCATGAAATGGCAGCAACAAGCTCATGATATACCACCAAAGCGGGTTCTGGATATTGTAAGACACCTATATAACGGTCTATTCAGTCATGCTGCCACAAATGTTCCTTATAGTTGCCTTTTATTCCCATTTTTATGCATTTTTTCAGGCAAAGTACGGAAAAGCTTGGCAGAAAAGTTCATAGAATTATTGGAAATACAGGGTTTCAAAAGGTACAACAAAGGGGTAGGGTTTTGAGAACAAAAATATGAGATATTGGGGACTGTTATAGGGTTATTCCTGCCCTATGAACAGTACCCCAGAACACTTCTTTTATTAGCAATAAAGATTTATTAATAATAAAGAAAGAAATAGAGCATACGAGGAGAGAGCAAGGAGGACGAGATTTACTACTAATAAAAATAGAGTGTATGATATTTACTGCCCTTCAATTACTATTTACTACTAATATAAAAATAAAAATAAAAAAATTAAAAAAGGAAATTCCTTAAAAAGGTGTCGAAACTGATACCCAAAAGAAAGTCAACTAACAAATCTTATCCCATAAACTAAAATTATCATCATATTTATCTTCAGATACCCTTGCATTTCTTCCTAACCATAATAGCCACAACACTGCACAAAATTGCACAACTCCATTGGGCCTGTGACATATTTAAACCAAAGCCAATAAAGTCAATAGGAAACAATTGATCAAAGGAACATGGAATCAACGAACCACATCTCTGAAATAATTTCCACCACAAGCCCATGGCCATGGTACTTTTACAGTATTTCTATGTAAAAGTGCAAAACAATAAAGTTGATGCTCTTTGAGGTGGTGAGGTCATCGATAAGTCTTCTCACCCCTCCTACACATCACACACTACTGTGGGGAATAAAAAAGTAATTATGTCTCCTTCTCTGATCTGAACCATATCATTAGTATTAAGTTTCTTATAAAATATAGACCTCCCAAAAACTTTAAGGGACACATTTGCACACAAAATTACCTTATGTGATAAAATAAATTAAAAAAATAACAATAGGATCAATAATGGAAAACCTATCTAAGATCAAATAAGAACCATAAATGAAAACCAACTATATAACCAAACTCATAGAAACAAAAGACTGGGGCAAGGAACAAAATGCCACAGTATTATGATAAAATTTCTAAATAATAATATGGGTAAATTACACTTTTCACCACTGAAGTTTGACCTAAATTTCACTTTGGTTCTTAATATTTCTATTTGAACAATGTTGGCCAAAGTCAAATCCAATTTCAACTTGGTCCTTTTTTCCCAATTGCCGTTAAATTTTTCAGTGTGTAATTCTCTGTGACGGACAATTGTTATAAAATAGCGAGTTTTAACATCCAATTTGGACAGAAGTACCAAATTGAAAATGGACTTAAAATATGCACAATTTCAAATGAAGATGAAATAAATAAAAAAAACAGTTGAGGGGCTATAAACTTACCCAGGTAAATTTCGGTCCACCAAACCTCTGACACATATATCCCTGATAACAATAAATTAAGATATGAGAACTTACAGTCTTACAATTCAAATGAAACATATATGTTGCCCGTTAAGAAACTGAAGATTACATGCTGAATTGAAATTCACCTTAATACAGGATCTAAACCCCCTTGTACAATACCAAATAAATTCTGCTCATTTGGTCTCTTGTGAGCTGTTAAAATCAAATAAACAGAAAACTTTAATAATTGAAACAAAGAAAGAGAACCAAAGCAAGACATGGGTCCAATCTCTAGATATGCACATGCATGTTTGGTTTGGATTTTGAAAGCATGTGAGAGGAACTTGTTTAATAATTTAATATTAAATAGAATTACCTTCTATACACCTATCTATCCAACGAAGAGTGCGATACATAGCCTCTTCAATTCGTGGACCAGTAATGGTGGTTCTCACAACATCATCAAGAGCCATGATAATATCTGCTCCAATTCTATTCTACAAAAGTTATAGACAAAAAACACAAACAGATGAGATGCTGATGATCCAATTCCATTCCACAAAAGTTATAGACAAAAAACACAAACAGATGAGATGTTGAAGAGTGAAGCACCTTAAAAAGAAAAGCTGAACAGATATAAAATAACAATGAACCCATAAAATTCTCACACAGTGCTTATGATAATCACTGCTTAATGCAAATCCCACAGATGACGTGATTGATTAAAAACAGCAGCCATTTTGTAAAAACATTGATGTATGCGAAATTTATATAATGAACATAATTATTTTTTAAGGTGCTTAATTCACAAAAAATTGGAAAGCTTATTTTTAATGGCATAAGTCATGACTCATGTATTATAGTCCCCCAACTGGTACAGTTACACATTTAAGAAAAAAAGATGAATCAATGTAATACAGAAATCTAATCTACAGTCCAATCTGTGAGTTGATACATCAAAGTAGCACGTTAAGGAGGGTTTATCCATCAATCAATGGATTAAGAGAGTATCCATCACCCTCCCAGCAAATTAAGAATCCTGGGATGAGATTACAGATAACTAAGAATTGCTAGCTGACTGTTCAATGTGAGGTGTATAAATTTGAATAGGAAGATGTTTCAAGTAATAACAAAAAGGGGTGGTTTAAAAAACAAAAAAGACACATGCTAGTTTTGGCCAGTTAATCGACAGAGTTAGGAGGGGTGAACCTGATACAAACATAACCTTTGGCATTATTTGCATGCAATGGCTACTCTCACACAAACTTGTATTCCCATGATTGCCAAGCCAGGGATTTCACCATTGAACTAAGCAATGCTGCTTGAATGGTTCGAAAAGTACAAAACTTCGAAAGAAAAAGAAAGAGGGAAAATTTAAGAGGAAGTGGCACAAGGAGAGAATTAAATCCATGCACATACAAAGAAAAGTCATGGCCACAATATGGAGCCTTTGTTAACATAACAAACCATACTAAAATTTTATTGGCAAGAAAATATTACTATAAAAATTATGAGTCTGTAAATAAAAATTGATTCTCCAGTTTGGCAAAAACAAGCAAAATGTACCCACTTGGATCTGAATTGATTCTTCAGGTGTTAAGAGCATTGGCTTTCCATCAACCGGTGACTGCAATAAGATAATTAAGCCTCAGTTACTAGCAACATCAAAAACAGATGTGAATTCCCATACTTGGTAAGTTTAAGAGTGAAAACTAATAAAACAGGGGGAAAAAAAAAACTCATAAAAGTTGTAATTAATACAACAATAGCTAAGTAATTGAGCATTGATGAGAATGTTTTCTACTATAACAAATGCATTATTTGCTAGCACAACGTACAACACATAATGACGAAAAAAATCATAACCACAAGACAACTTTCAACTTTCCTGAATCCTAAAATAACCAGAAGTATCTCGAGGAAAATAACCTTTCAATGTGTTTCATTAATCAAAACATAGTTAGGGTATATCTGTTAAAACCTATCACCTACTTCACCTACTTAAACCTACTCCACTTTTACATGGTATCAGACCTATTCCACTAAACCTAACCCACTACACCACTACCACCTCCACTTCACCTACTCCTTACCTACTACACACTCACCCTCTTCTATATATAGGAATCATGAATCATTGTAATAAATCAATAAACATCAATCAATAATACATAAATTTTTACAATATCCATCCCTTAACTCATTGATCTGGTTCCCAGTTCGCTCAAAAGCTCATGCAAAGGAAGACAAAGAATACATACATGCAAGCTCATGATGCATTTGTTTGCAGGCAATCATGTAGTTGACTACAAGACTAACAATTGGAAAAGAACATTTCACAAAATCGTGTAAACAGAAAATGGCTAGAACCCAACATTAGTCTCATCTCTTTAATATATATATATATATATGGTATTGGTCCCACCATGACTCAAATCACATACTCAAACTAGAGAACTTGAGCTTTTACCCTTGGAACAATACTCTAACTACATCGGTTAGTTGCTTGCACAAACATAAAAGATTTTACCCTAAGCGACCCACCCATCCTAGGATGTGAAGGTGTGAAGTCACTAAAAAGCCAAAAAGCCAACAAACTATACAAAAAAGTAAAAGATTCCCCTTTCTCTCTATTTGCACATTTTTTTCATAAAAAGCAAGTCATCCTAAGCATACTAGTTTTTTTACCTCATATTTTAGCCAAAAAGTTACTAAAAATAGCATGTTCTCAAACAAGACCTGAATGGTTGTGATGCTCTAGTATAACTAAATTTACTAATAGATTTGTCAGCATAAGAAGTTTGGAGCAGCATGAAGTCAATTAGCCAAAAAGCCAACAACTCATACCAAAAAGTCAAAAATTCTCTTTTCTCTCTACTTCAGCTCTGATACCATGTTAGAATTGAAGTATTATTGATTGATGTATGTTAATTCATATTCTGTCTATTACAAATGGTTCCTTATATAGATGTAGGTGTAGTGGATGGTGTGTAGTGGATGGTGATAGTGGTGTAGTGGGTTAGGTTTAGTGGAGTAGGTGAGGTGGTAGTGGTGTAGTGGGTTAGGTTTAGTGGAGTAGGTGAGGTGGTAGTGGTGGTAGGTGATGGTAAATTCTAACACTTTTCGTAAAAAACCAAAATATTATCCCAAACATACTAGTTTTTTTTAACTCATATTTTAGCCAAATAGCCAAAAAGTTACTAAATTAGCCCGTTCCCAAACAAGGCCTAAAATAGCATGTTCTCAAACAAGACCTGAATGGTTGTGATGCTCTAGTATAACTAAATTTACTAATAGATTTGTCAGCATAAGAAGTTTGGTGATGCTCTAGTATAACTAAATTTACTAATAGATTTGTCAGCATAAGAAGTTTGGAGCAGCATGAAGTCATATATATGTATGTACAGATTTACATGTAAGTAGCTGTTCAAATAAAATAAAATAAAAAGGAGTATAACTAAATTTACTAATATACATTAGTCAACATTAGAAGTTTAAAGCAGCATGAATCGTATATATGTATATGCAGATTTGCATGTATGTATGTACAAACAGATAAAGATATTTATCTATAAGAAAAAAATTATCCACAAGCTTGGTTAACATAATACAAGTACATCAACATTAATATCATAATAAATAGTGGCTACACCAGTAAATGCAAAGAAAAAGTACCTGAAATGTGACACCTTTTTCAGTAATGTCAGCCAAATGCAGTAATGAGACCTGGAATCATCAACAAAAAATATGCTTATTGCATTTATTATCATTTCTCAAACCTATTGGCAGAATAAAATCCATAAAGATTGAATCACCAAGGCAACGAACTTTATAGCATGAAACGATCACAAGCAATGTTTAAACATTTTGAGTTTACCAAAAACCGCCATACTTTTTAATCCTGACAACTAATCATGGAAGTACGAAACACTTGCTGCAACTTGTGGCACTGCATCTTATAACTATAATATCTATCACTCAAAACAACTATAAATAAATATTATAAAATGGGTCCATTCACGTGGTTTTCTTTGTTGCAAACTTGCAATACTAACAATTCAAGCTCGAAGCTGCATACATTTCCAATTTTGAGTCATCATCTACATCTAAAATTTCTACTCCATCCAGTATGTCACATGAAGATGTAAGGGCAATAATCTCATTGATTTTTTTTTTTCTTTTTTCCCCAAGGTCCCCTTGATGAAGAAAACATGACAGCTTTCTAAGGTAATTTCATATACATTTACAATAATACAGTGGTGAGGCAGTGCAGCACGCACATGATCCATAAGGCATAGTAACAGGACTTTAATTCAAACATTTGGCATCTTGTACACCAAATAACAAGGTTCAGAAGACAAGGAAGGGACATGATACACATGAAGCAATGCAGCATGTATGTAGCCCAGAATGCATGCTGTGAAAACGTAAAATTCAACATTTAGCATCATGTAAACCAAACAAAACAGATCAAGAGTCAAAGCAGGGACATGACACAATGTGTCAAATTCTTTCTAATATAAAACTGAGACCTCATGTCCACCAAGTTCTAGAACACAAAGAATCACAAAACTGTGAAGAACAAGAATAACTACAACAATTCACATGAATATAACACTACATCATCATAAAAAACAACCATTTGAAAGCCACCAGAATCAGTAAGCAGAGCCCTTGGCCAGTTCATAAATTTGTGCAGGCCTCCCAACTCGTCGATCAGTTCAGAAGTAGGTCGAAGTGCCAAGTGATATGTATTCCCAAGTATTATTTGGCAACCAATTTCCTCAAGCTGGCTAGTTGTCAAACCTTTTATTGTCCCTGTAACCATGAGAATCCACCTTCTTTAAGTCAATGAATTAGAGGGGGTGTTTGGGAAGAAAAAAAATAGCCCAATTTAGGCTAAAATTCACAAAAAGACAAAATAGGCTAAAATAGTTAATAAAACAAAATATCACATCAAACTCATAATCATTTCACTTTTTCTCTCACAAACATCACATCCAACCACAAAAAAATCCAATCATCTTCCCAAACACAAAAATTTTAGCCTACTAAAATAGCCAAAAACTAAAATAGCCTATTAAAATAGCCACTTCCCAAACGAGGCCAGAATAGTGCATGCAAGGTTTCAAAAAGTGGTGTTACGTAACGGTTGCGGTGATAGGCACTACCCGTTACACCCGCTTGTGCGGTGTGATGGAAATTCACACGTGTAACGGCCGTTTCAGTGTTACGTAACGGCTGTAGCGGTACCGTAACGGCCCGTTACACACATTTACAATATTCTGAAAAGCTTCCTTTCAAAAAAAAAATCTACAAAATGTACATTATACACATTGTGCAATATTCAGTAGCTCAAAAATAATTTTTTTTTATGTCTCAATTTTTATTTTTATAATCATTTCATTTAATAATTGTAAACATTTTTTATTTAGTTAGCTCAGGTATTAGTCAAAAATAATTTTGTAGATATTTAAAATCAATTATTCTTAAAAAATAAATAAAAAGAAGAGGTACAATATGGATTTATGACATATAAAGTCATTAATTATTGAAATAAAATGTAAAAAGCACTTTTATAGTGATTTAAAAATATGAAATATAATGGATCATAATTAAAAACTAAATTATGGTTTTTAAAAAAAAAAATATGCGTGTTGGGTAAGTTTTTTTCAAATTGTGTGAAAAAAAAAAAAAAAAATCACGGTTCCAATTACGGCAACCGTTACGATACAACATTTACACCCTGGAACTGCAACCGCACCATCACAACCGCTTTTTGAAACCTTGAGTGCATGTAAATACAAATGAAATATGCATAACTTTATGCGAATTATGAAGATCATTTTGTAAAATAAATTATAAACTACTTCAATGAAATATATGAATACAAAATTACAAAGTATCTCTACCAATAACCATAGTTAATAGTCAACTAACCATCCAATTTACCAGTATGGACTAGGCCCAGAGATGCTCATTGCAAATGCCAGCAGAAATAGAATATTCAGTGCCCACAAAAACATTTAACTGATCAATTGAATCAAAATCTAGTGGTTATTAAATGAATGGAATACTCCAATAATTTCCTTTTTTGAATAAAGCAATTAACTATTATAATCTCCATGAAAATGGATGATAAGACTATAAAAGAATATGAGTTGACATAAAACCTGGCTATGCACTATCAAGATACTTAATCCAATATCTTTACAATTCTTCAGTCCAACATGAGTGAAATATGCATGAGTTCATGTAGATTATGAATATTGTTTTCTGAATTAAATTGCTTCATTGAAATATGTAAAATGCAAAGTATCTCCCCCAACCACCATGGTCAATGGTCAACTAATCATCCCATTTATACCTGCATGGACTAGGCCCAGAGATGCTCATTGCAAATGCCGGCAGAAAAAAATAATATTCAATACCCACAAAAACATTTAACTCATCAATTGAATCAAAATCTAATGCCTATTCTATGAATGAGAATAATGAAATAGCTTCCTTGGTTCAATAAAACAAAAAAACTATTATAATCTAAGAAAAATGAGTTGATAGAAAACCTGGCCAAGGAGCTAAACACCATGAAGATACTTGCATGTGTGTGTGTGTCGAAAGTAGTTAAACACTCTTTGTAATAATGTGATAATGAAAGCTCTAACCTTGTGTACCCACTGGCATAAACAAAGGTGTCTGGCAAACAAAGTGAGGGAGTGTCAATTGAGCAGCACGAGCACGATTGAATCTCCCAAGAATCTGATGTAATAAACAAAAAACATAGCTTCCAATAAGTAAACAACCACCATACAACCAAATAGGGGTTGGTCTTAGTTGTGGCCTGCCCAAAAGGGGGTGGACCATCAAGAGGGGTGTTCATCAGAGAGTGGATGCACATAAAGTTTATCCAAGACTCTAATTTACATATACATGTGCCCTTTGGTAAAAAGATCCACATCATCTTAAGCCTAGTACATGGTGACACTCATTAACATGATTCCCTTCTTTTAAAAACAATACTTTATTGTGTATATACTCTAGCTTTTCTTGTTTCTGAATACCTGATTCAATTAGTGATCAAATGAAGCAAGGGTTCACTTGAAAGGAATGCATTTCAATTTTGAATGACATTAATAATGCATTTCAATTTTCAACAACCAAGGAACCATTTGAAAGGAATGTTGCTTCTTAAAATATTTTAATATCTTTCAAAAGAAAAATAAACTCTCAAGCCTTAATTTATCAAAAAAGAAAAAAGGAGAAAAAAACCTCAGACCTCAGACCTCAGGCAGGAGTTGTTCCTCAGATTTTCAAAACCATTTTCAGAAACATAGACCACTGTTAGTAATTCACAGAGTATACAATTATGCATTTCAATATAAAGGGCTATTACTCAGTACAATGGTAAAAGCTGGAGTTGCCAAGCATGAAAATGTGGGCTCAAGTCTGATAACAGCCATTTAATGCAAATAAGGCCGAAGTTATATATATCATAAGAATCCACCTTCCATCACCCACAGAAGGAGAACCGAAACTGTCTATCAAACCTTATTTTATACATCTCTAAATTGTAAAGCACATTTCTCGTTTGACAACTCACTGTTTTTGCCTAAAAGTCAAAAAGTCACTAAAAAAAATTAAAAAGCCAACAACCTATATCAAAAAGTCAAAGATTCCTTTTTCTGTCTACTTTTTGCACATCTTTTCATAAAAAATCAAAAAATCATTCTAAACATACTACTAATTTTTTTACCTTATATTTTAACCAAAAATAGAAAAAGTTACTAAAATAGCATGTTCCCAAACGAGATCCAAGTATCATTTTCCCCCAAAAAAAATAGAAAAGTGATACGGAAAACATTTTTAGCATAAACACCCTTTTTTAGGAAACACTGCAAAGGTTTTCTAGATTTTCAAAACCTATTTTCCCATAAAAATGAAATCAATATGAAAATTATGGTGTTTCCAAGCCTTCCATTGTTTTTGTTCCAAAAAAATATAAATAAAAAAATTGCAAATGACACAAAACAAGGCCTAAATATTACTCCAAAATAAATAAAAGGCATTCCACATAATGTGGATCAAATTCAAAGCCACACCTCAAATCGAAGAGCCATCAAATAATAATTGCACCTCTTCCAGCAGCCTATGTATAAAAACTGTCACCAATTTCAAAAAAACAAAAACACAAAACCATAACAATTACTAAAAATAAGATAATACAACCACTTCAACCACATAGTTTTGCCCTTCAATCCCATGATATCAAAACATATTTATAAAGGATTCAGAAATGAAAAGGAAAAAAAGTCGTATGGAATAATATGAAATATAGTTATATTTTATTCCCATTTCACCTTCATTTACTCTTTTTCTTTCAAAATTCTTTCCCAAATCTCAAAAAAAAAAAAGGGCACAAGCAAACAAACAAACAAAAAAATGCGGGAAAACATATAGCATATGAGGTAAGTCATGTTAAATGGATGTATATGGAAACAAAGAGGGAGTAGAAGAAAGAGAAAAGAATGATTGAGAAGTTTACATTACAGGGGATATAGAGATAGCGGCGGTGAAGAAACACAGAGCAGCGGCGGCGACGAACAGAGGTGCCCTAATGGGGTGTGTAGAAAGCGTGCCGGCCACGCGTTCTTTCACTTTGCAATATGGGCAAATTACAAACAGCCTCGAGGTTTGGTAAAAATATAGATTTTCTTGAGGTTTGAGAAATTATAAATTGCTCCTTGAGGGTCAAATTTTCATAACAAATTAGGAGAAATTAGAGAGAATTTGTAAGAAAATAAAAATCTCAAGAGGCAATTTGTTATGAAAATATAAACCTCAGAGGGCGAGATGTAATTTCTCAAACCTTAGGGGAGAATCTGTATTTTCACCACACTTCGAGGGGGTGTTTGTAATTTGCCCAAAAATATACAAAGTACGCATTGTATTGTATTGGGCACTGCTAAAGATACGGAAACCGTTACTGGGTAATGGATTGGTTGGATTTTGGACTTGGATCATTTGGAAGCCTTAGTGAGAAAAATATACGCGAAAATTGCAAATCAGTCACTATTACCTCTTTGGGACGTTGATTTTTGACCCCTTTTTTTCTGTTTTTTGAATTGTCACCGTGCTATACCGGATAAAATAATATATTATTTATTAAAAATAAAATAATTGAAGTGGGTGAAAATTAATCAAGTCTTGGTATGTATAGCCAACAATAATATACATAGATTAAAATTATTGTATTGATAATTAATAATTAAAACTATGTTTTTTTTATAAAAAAAAATGACGTAGTTCTAATACTTTACTATTTTAGAATAAAAATATATGAATTTCAAAAAATTATTATATTGGTTTTTGAAAGGAAAACAATTAAATAAATTTTAAAAACTTAATGAATAAGAAAGAATCATCGTAACATGTAAAATCACTAAAATCATTATTAAACTAGCAAATCATTCAAATTAAAAACGATTTAACTTAATCAGTTAGATTAAAAGACCAACCAGTTTACACAAAAATTAATTAATTAAAACTTTTAAATTTAATCTGTTACTAAATATGAAAAACAATCTATTAATTTAAATTTAAAATTGACACAATATAAATTTAAAATTATAATAATCTATCTCATAATTTATAAGTTTTAAATACAAATTTAAAATTATCATAATTATCTCATAATTTTTATATTAAGAAGCAGTAAGAGTGACATTGAAACATATTGAATTGAAACATGCACAACTCTACAATTATCATAATTATCTCATAATTAATTAATTAATTAAAACTTTAGTAATTAATTAATTTAAAATGATCATTTTTATTAATTAATTCATTATAATGATCTCGTATTTAATTAATTAAAACTTTTTAAATTGAAACATGCACAACACTACAATATTAAATGGGATCAGAGTATAAAATTCACTTTATGTGAGTAAAATAATCCATTTTTTCCTTATTTTCATGATGTAAGATTATCAAATAAAAGTTAGTCAATGGAGATTTTCTTAATTGTTTAAAATTAAGAAAATCAAGAAAATTAATATGAGATATTGAAACTCTCACAAGGCTCCTCACTAAATAGGATGAGAGTATAAGATTTACTTCATATGAGTAAAACAACTTATTTTTTTCCTTATTTTCCCGATATAGGATTATCAAATAAAAGTATAAAATCGCTAAAATCGCAGTTAAACCAACGAATCAATCAAATCAAAAATGATTTAGCTTAATCGGCTAGATCATAATTAATTAATTAAATTTTTTTAAATTTAAATTATATTGAATTAAAACATGCACAACACTATAATATTAAATGGGATGAAAGTATGGCTCTGTTTGGTAGAGCTGTGGGAAAATGATTATATATTATAGCTTTACAAATTATAGCTTATAGCTGTGAGTATAAGTTGGTAACGTGTTTGCTGTACCTATGAGATTATAGATTTAAGTAGCAGAGTAGTGTTTGGTAAGTAAGCTGTAAAATAGTTTTTTGCTGTGTAATTGTCATTTTTGCCCTTATGAACAGAAAATTTGCAATTTTGTCATTTTCTTCTCTTTAAATTTTGAAAAAATTATTTCATTAATGGAAGTTAATTAATTAGTTGGTACATTTCATTACCTCAAATTTATTTTTTTATTTTTAAATTTTTTTTTAATAATATTGAGTTGAAAAGGGAACAAAAAAATGTCGTTACAATAAATTACTATTAAAGCAATAAAAATAAAACTTCCTACATATTTAAAGATCTCTTAATTTCGTCTGCAAATTGACATACAAATATTATGTCTCCTCACTTCCATCTCGTTGTCATCACAATCAACATCATTTCCATAGCGTACTTGTTGAGACAAAGATCCTTCATCTTCGTTAGGCACATAATTCGTGAATATATCATAAGAGTCAAATGCAATATTGCGGAACTCACTTCGTCGGATGAAATTATGAATTGTCATTGTTGCACAAACAAGTTTCACTTGGGTCGCCCAGTTGTAGTTTGGTAGGATATTCTTTATCATCGGTCATCTTGCTTTCCAAACCCCAAACGTTCTTTCTATTACACTTCTAAGTGATGAATGTGCTTGGTTGAATTTTTCTTATGCATTTTGAGGGGGTTGACCATGTTCAAATTAAGCTATATTGTATCTCGCTCTTTTGTAAGGTGCAAGATATCCTTTCATGTTTGGATACCCAGCATCCACTAAGTAAAACTCATCTATTTTAAAATTACAAAATAAAATTAAAAAAAGTAATTATAAATGTAAAAATAAATATAGAGATGTGAGTGTGGTGCATCTATTGTAGCAATCAAATATAAAACAGTTACCTCCTTATGGTTTTGGAAAATTATAATTAGGATTCCTAATTGTATCCAAGAAAATTTGAGTATCGTGTGCACTTCCTTCCCATTCTGGTAAGCAAAATGTGAAACACATATCAAAGTCACATGCAGCCATTATGTTTTGAGTTGCATATCCTTTTCTACTTATTAAATGAGGTTGCTTATCTGGAGATATATATGCTTTGATGTGTGTTCCGTCAATTGCTCCAATACAATCCTATTATAAAATAGTTCATAAAATTATTTTTAGTCACAGATTATTAGAAATATCCGACCAACATTATTATATGCAACACCCAAGTTCCACTTGTAATTATTTTTTTACCTTGAAATGAGAATAATATTTGCGCTTGCTTCGAATATATAGATGCACACCATTTCTCGATTGAGGCTTTACCCAATCAATAGACATCATTGTAACAGCTTTTAACACCTTCTTGAAGTATTTTGAAATAGTCTCGTCGGAATGTTGAAATCTTTCTTGGGCATTTCTGTTTCGAATGTCACCGCCAACAATATACAAAAATATTTTAACCTGCTCCTGAATCGAGACTTTTTGTCTAGTTTCAAGGCCATGCTTTGTCTGTAACAAATCACACAATTGATAACATACCTCTCTTTCCATTCAAAAATTTTCAAATATTCTTGTCCGATTCCCTTCTTGTAATTCTACCATCTACTTCCTCCTTGTTAAACTAGATGTCCTACATAATTCTTTTATCAAATAATTTGTCGCATATGTCACTGCAGCCATTGCCGCCGTAGCTAAGAGCATATTACTATGTTGTTGGGTTTGCAATGTGCTGCATTCATCTTCAGTATCTTCATCATGGTGATCATCATTCCATTCGTCATCACTGTTACTCATTTCCAAAATACCTACCCATTTAGAGGCTTAGTTACTATTACAAGAATGACCTTACTTTATTGTAATTAGATTTTAGTTCAAATTAAGCATTATAAATCATCATGACTTCACGCAAAATTAAGAAACATCAAATTTTTAAAGAATAAATTAAACTTTTATTCTTATAGTTTAACTCAAATTTCATTTTCAATTTTAATAATTTAGTCCATACAATTTTACTCCAATTTTAATTAGGTTATTTCGTTCAATTTGGCTCAAAATGTATAAATGGAAAATTAGATTTTTTTTCTTTGTTATCCAAATGTGAAACCACAGAAGGCCTCACTAAGTTTTGATACACACCATCCAATTTATAATTAACTTAAAAAGGTCATCTGAAGATACTCCATTCCACCCATCAAATTAATAAAGAGAGAAAAGAATTGTGATTATGAATTAACTCCTATCATCTTTATTTTCAATGTTTTCCTTTTGTTTTCGAAAATAGAAACACTGATAAGTTCAATCACCCCTACCTATTGTTTCACATCATTTTATTTTCTACTAAAAAAAAAAAAAACTTCTAAAGGTATTTCTTAAAAAATAAATGTATATTTTTTAAAGGATGAAGCATTTTTTCTAAAAATACTTTCTCATATCTGTTGTTTGTTTACCACATATAATACACTAATGAAAATCTGACCTCACTCTTTTTTTAATTGCATGTTAGATGCAAATGATTTTGTATAAAATCTGACCTCACTCTTTTTTGTATAATATTTTTTAATTGCATTATGACGATGATCATTATATATAATATTTTTTTTTCATTATTTTGATAACGCTGCCTGTGCGGGAAATCCCACATCGGTCTGTGAGGGACTACTTTCCTACCTTTTAAGCAGACTGGCTCCTCTTACTTTGCATATGCCATTTCCCGCACACTGCCCATGTAAACGAATCTGCTGGAGCAAATTTGTGCCTTATTAATACATATAATTTACCCACATAGAAAAAAACTTTGCTTTCCCTAACTCCTGTGCAACCTATTATTTGGGAATTAAGAAGAGCAACAATAATGATAACCTTACAATTACCAAAAAGTGTATAGGCTGTGTTTTTAAGAGTTTACCTCTCTGTTATACAACAGCAACAGATTGAAATTCAAACCAGAAACATATCCAAATTCAGCACAACAATAGCAACAAATGGAAATTCAACATAGCAACAGATGGAAATTCAGCACAAAAAATAAATACAGCACAACAAACATAAGGTAATTCAACCTTTCTCATAACCAGCTGGAGAACATCTACATATATATAAAAGTCTTCATTATTCACCTACTATTCATATTCAAGATTGAATTCAACTAACATTCAATCATTCAACTAACATTCAACAAGTCAACCATTTATCTACCATTCAATTGAGAAAATGCCACCTACCCACCAACCATTCAACTAACAAAGTCCAACATAATCAAACTCCAACAAAATATTAATAAAAATCCAAATAATAATGAGTCCAACATAAAAGTCCAACATAGTCAATATTAAAAAAAGAAAAATAATAATAAGTCCAACACAACAGCCCACAATTAATAATAAAAGTTTTAATAAAGGTATTAAATATGAACTAATTAGGAAATTCAAAAACATCCAACTTCAGAAACAATTAGCCGCGATAACCTATGGTGGTCTTCTCCATCTCAATCTCCAACTTTAGAAACCTCAGGCGAACTTCATCCGTAGGAAAAGTTATGAAGCACCTATGACGCTTGTCTCGTAAGAACAATCTGGCAGCCCATACATACAGCTCATCATCCGGGGACACACCAGGGATGCTTTCCAACTTCGCCAAAAATTCTGCAATTGAAGGATATCTTGATGAGGTTTGTGTTGAAGTTGCTGAAGATGACTCAACCACATTGACTATACGATCAAGTGTCTTGATAAGCAGAGCTGCACTAGTAAATTTCTTCTTTGTCTTGCTGTTGGTTGATGAACCATCAGTGTTTGATGAACGCTTTTTGTTTAACTCGGAAGAATGAACCACCTCTAAATCATCGTCATCATGAAATTCAGCATCATGTGGGGTATGAAAGTCCTCCACAATCTCATCAGTGTGAGGCATAACCCTTGAGCTAGGGATGTATGCCCATTCCCCTGTAGCAGCTGCATCTAAGAATAGGATGTCTAAGTCTTCACTGAATTGCAACGGGATATGTCGAAATTTAGCAGCATCAGGATACCTCTGCAACAATTACAAAGGAAAATTTAACAATTTCAAGTAACAAATTTGGTCTGTTTAAACATAAAAAAAAAAAAAAACAGAATATAGTCATTAATTAGGAAGAATTGAATCCAAATCCTCTAAAATTGATTGGGAATTTAAAGATGTTATAAATGGCCATTGTCTTTAATTCTTAACACTATTGTGCACTTTGGTCCTAAATTCCCATCAACACAATCAAACAAACAGATAACTAGCATATAATGGAGAGCATGTTTGGTGATAGGGAAATCAAAGTCCTAAATAGTGTAAAGAATTGGCTTGTTTCTCTCAATTTAATAAATCAGCTTCCTACTTTGTTGTTTTACAGTTACAGAGAATGAAAAAACAAATATGTGCCTTTAGTCAATATGATTAAAGAAGCCCTGATTTGTGGTTTTGGATATAATGTTTATGTGCTACTAGCTTTCTAACATATTTTTCTGCAGAGTGTTAAGTTGGTCTAACTGTAAGGAGGAGAGTTGAGTAATGAAAGGTCTATGCAGGTTTGATGAGTGAAAGATGTAAGCTTAGAGAGTTGAGAGATAGGAGTCTCATATTGTTTTTCTAATTGTTTGTTGTTGCAGATTCTAAGCTGGCCCTTAGGTAAAGGATATTTTCAAAGAGGTGTGGTCACTTGCTATACCAACTTCAATGAAATAATTATCTGTCACAATAAGTATTTGTTTATACCAACCATTTGCTATACATATGGGATTCATAGCCAAAAAAATGTAGTGGTCATTCTTTTAAATAGTGGAGGCTCTAATCAAAGCACAAAAGAAATAAAGACAGACAAACTAAATCAGTGGCTAAGGAAAAGGGTATTAACAAGACATACCAAATCAAACAAGATGGAAGCCCAAAAAGAAACCACAAAATGTCACAAAGATGGTCCACTTTTTTGCATAAATTATTAAAACTTCACCACTTATATATTTATTTCAGTTTGGCCTCGTGGAAAGTGGTAACAATAGTTACAAACTTTTTTCTTATCAAAACAATCCTTACACTCAACAGTGCATGTGCTTGTGTGCTAGGAAGCTTACTTGAGCAATGCAATAATGAATTGAAACCAAACTTTGAATCCTTCCTGAACCACTATACTATAAATGGCCGTATCAATATCAAAAAGTGAAAAACCAAACTGACCTCTTTATATTTTTGTCTTGTTTATTTATCTTCTATTTGTGACCATGAATTGATTAAGGAAAATTCTCTATTAGTAATTGCCATTATTTGAACTCATCAAAAGAAGGGTAACAAATATCATGTATTTCACAAAAAAATTTTGTCAAGCAAGCACATAAACCATACAAGAAATATTTTCTGCCATGGATGTGAGGTCGGCACTACACCAGGGAAAGCATTTAAACTGCCCTTTCCTTCCAACTATAATAGTTACTAGAGAATGACATTTGTTTATACCAACTTCAATGAAATAATTATTAGATTAACAGATCAATCAAATACCTATTATGAATTTCCATTTTCTCCACAAACCCAATTTTCATAAGGATCAGAGGATTACTGCAAGATGTGTTTAAGAAAATCTACAGCATTATCAATTCAATTCAATTCATTTCCTTCTATTCTAATACAAAAACTAGCAGAAAACTAAATGCTGATTCAAGATTTTGTCAACATTAAAACTGATTAGGCCAATCTTTAAATATATATATATATATAATTTTAAAAAAAAAATTGAACCAAAAGTGATTTTGATTTTAACACTACAACAAACAAGTGAACAAGAATTGAGCAGAGATTGAACAAAAATTGAGTAGAAATTGAATAGAAATTGAGCAGAAATTGAGCAAAATTTAACAAGAACACTGAAAATTGAGCAGAAGAATCTTACTTGAGTACTCAGGTGTCGAACTCGTCCAACGGCTGCAAATGGTGGCTGGGAAAAAAAATAAACAAAAAGATGATGAAAATCGGAGAAGAAGAAGAAAACAAAGAAAGGAACATGGAGTGTGATCTGGTCTCTGTCTGTGTAAACCCTAACTCGATGTGTGTATACATATATATATATATATATATATATATCACAAACAAAAAGGCATGAACTCTAACCTTTTTGGTGCAGATCAACGGAAAACAGGGAGGAAAGGAGTTCGATCGGTTGATCTTGGAGATGTGGAGGAGTTTGATCGACTGCTGTGGAGGATCGTCTTCAGTCGGCAAGAGAGGAAATGAGAAGAGGAGTGTGAGGAGATGAGCGGGCTAGGGCAACAAGAGGGTTTATATAGTGGCAATTCTGTAATTGTTGAAGTTTTGGAGGGGCATTTTAGTCATGTCATCACCCATGAATCAACTGCGCGCTTAAGCTATAATTCATAAACATGCCTCGAGTTGCTTATAAATTTGAGCTGAAAATAGCTTTTTTAAAGCTATAATCTGTTAATATAAGTTGTACCAAACACAACATTATAGCTTAAATTAAGTCAAAAGCTCAAATAAGCTGCTTTTAAGTTATACCAAACAAGACTCACTTTATATAAGTAAAACAACTCATTTTTCCCCTTATTTTTCCGATGTGGGATTTTCAAATAAAAGTTAGCCAATAGAGATTTTCTTAATTGCTTAAAATTAAGAAAATCGAGAAAAATAATATGATATATTGAAATTCTCACAAGACTACTCACTAAATGGGATGAGAGTATAAGATTTACTTTATATAAGTAAAACAACTCATTTTTTTCCTTCTTTTCTTGATATGGAATTATCAAATAAAAGTTAGCCAATAGAGATTTTTTTAATTGTTTAAAAATTAAAAAAATCAAGAAAATTAGAATAAGGATTTGAAACTCTTATTGTTTTAAATGTTCCTTTACTATAATATAATATATAGATAGGTAGATGTTAAATACTAAAAAAAAAAAGAAGCAAAATCAAAATTTCTACACAATATTCATATGGTGTGTGAGTCTCATATAGTATCAATTCTATTCATATGATTATTGTGTAAAATATTTGATAAATTTGTTTAGACTTTTAAGAAGTTGTTTGAGAAGTATTTTTTTAATAATTTTTTGACTTTTTAATTACAATGTGAGGTGAAAAAATTTAGTTAAAACTTTATTATTTAATTATTTTAAAATTGTCATTTTTATTAATTAATCAATTATGATAATTATAATTAATTAATTAAAACTTTTAAAATTTAAACTATATTGAATTGAAATATGTACAACACTATAATATTAAATGGGATGAGACTATAAGATTCACTTTGTATGAGTTAAACAACTCAATTTTTCTTTATTTTCCCAATGTGGGATTATCAAATAAAAACTAGCCAATGGAGAATTTTTTAATTGTTTAAAATTAAGAAAATCAATAAAATTAATATGAGATATTGAAACTCTTACAAGGCTCCTCATTAAATGGGATGAAAGTATAAGATTTACTTTATATGAGTAAAACAACTCATTTTTTTCCTTCTTTTTCCGATGTGAGATTATCAAATAAAAGTTAACCAATGGAGATTTTCTTAATTATTTAAAATTAAGAAAATCAGGAAAATTAGAATGAGGATTTAGAACTTTTAAAAGGCTTCTCACTAAAAAAATCCATTTTCTTTATATAATATATATATATATATATATATATTTATTTATAAACAGACAAAATAAATTAAAATAATCAATAAAATAAAATGTCACATCACTAATCATTTTTTTTTCACAAATATCACATCCAACTATAAAAAAAATCTACCTATCGTCGTAAATATAAAAATTTTAACCTACTAAAATAGTTAAAAACTAAAATAACCTATTAAAATAACTAACTTCCTAAACGATGCCATGTTTGGTTTCACATTTTGAACTCAATTTTACAAAAATTTAGCCTTTAAGTCTAAAAATTCAAAAAATGTTCCAAAATTTTATTAACAATTTGGGAAAAAGAAATTATGGGGTGGTTTAGCAAGTTGGATTTTAGCCTTTTTTGGATAAAATTTACAAAATGATAAAATAGACTAAAATAGCTAATAAGACAAAATATCATATCAAATCCATAATCATTTTACTTTTTCTCTCACGAATATCACATCTAACTAAAAAAAATCCAAGTATCTTCCTAAACACAAAAATTTTAACTTACTAAAATAGTCTTCTAAAATAACAACTCTCCAAACACCCACTATGTGTCCTTTATATTAAATGATTAGATATTTTCTGGAGAGACCCATTGAATTGGGCTTGGCTTTGGTCCAATCCACCATCGGACTGGACCGTGCTGTTGGACCCGTGGGGGTCCATCACGGGTCCCGTTTTGAAAATATGAACCGTTCAATGTATAGAACTCTTCGAGTACTATATCTCTGTGAAAAATCACGTTGATCGGATATCGATAGCTATGTGATCAAAATAGTTTTTTATCAACCGTTAATTTATTCACCGTCTATTTTTTTATACAAAACTAATTTGATCGCATAGCTATCGATATCCGATCAACGTGATTTTTCACAGGCATATAGTACTCGACGAGTTCTACATATTAAACTGTTCAGATTTTCAAAACGGGACCCGTAATGGACCCCTACCGATCCAACAGTACGGTCCAATCCGATAGCGAACTGGACCAAAGCCAGACCCTTTGAATTTACTTACAAAATTTAACTCCAACAATCAAACAATGGTCACTTTTCTAAAAATACTTTTTAAAATCAAATTCTAAAAATTAATTCAAAAAAGTGAAACTAAACGAGATAACTTAGGTCAAGTTTGGCATATTGAAAAAAAGTCAAAAAGTCAAAAAATTACTCAAAAAGTTAAAAAGTTAACACTATTCACTAAAAGTCAACAATTACGGTTGCACAACTCCCAATCCTAATTTTTCCTTACAAATCAATTTCTACAATTTTTTATTACACATTTTTTATAAAAAGTCAAAAAGTTAACCCAAACATCCATATTTTCTTCCTCAATTTTTTAGTCCAAAAAGACAAAAAATGCACTTATTTAAGACACTCCAAACAACCCCTTACTAATTTTATAAAATATTATAAATTTATGGGTAAATTACACTGACACCCCTTATGATTTAAGTTTAATACAAAATTTTCCTCATATTTGAAAAATTATATTTACCCCCTATCAGATTAAAATAACATATTTACCCATTACCCTTTATACATATAAAAAATAAAGTAATATAGATATTTTGTTCGTGTCATTTCAAAGGAAATAACAATCATCTTCTTTGCTTTAACTCACAAAAAAAATCAAGTTTTTTTATTTTTATTTTTACTAATTTTTTTTAATATCTTAAACAATTTTTTTTTTTTAGATACACCTAATGTAGATATATTTAAGAAGTATAATATTTTGTGGTTTTTTTTTTTAAATTCACCAAATATAAAAAGAAATAAAAAAAACGACAATGCTAGGTAGCTCAAATTTTTGTGGCTCAAATGGCTCAAATCTGTCAAAACGACGTCGTTTTGACAGATTTGAGCCATTTGAGCCACAAAAATTTGAGCTACCAAACATTTTCCTAAAAAAAAATACAAAAATTCAATGCGTAGGTTCTTTGGGATGTGGGTTGACTTTTTGACTATTTTAGTTTGGGGCTAAAAAGCCTTGTTTGGAATAAGTTTTTTGACTTTTTTGACTTTTGTGAGAGAAAAAATGAAATGATTATGGTTTGGATGTGGCATTTTGTTTTATTTGACTAAAAAGCTCATTTTGTCTTTTTGTGACTGTTTTAGCCAAAAAATCCTCCTTTAGCTTATGCCAAACGCGGGCATCATCTTATTTTGTTGTATTCAATGGATTTTTTTCAATTTTGTTGTACAAATTTTATACTTTTTAAATATATCTAGATTAAATTGATTTAATTTAGATAAAATAGTGGAAGTAAAAATGAAAAATTATATTCATATATAAAAAGTATAAAAATGTTGTGATAGTGATGTTGTTGTAAATATAAATCATATTTATGATTGTTTTGTTTTAAAGTAAAAGACCACTATTAAGTTATATTATTGTGTTTGAAAATTCTATAAAAATTTATGTTTATATATCATCACTCAATAAAAATATGTTAATGTAGAATTTAATAATAAAAAATTTTAGAATGCAGTCATGATGATGGAAAGAATAAATGGTAAAAAAGAGAGCAAGATGGTCATTTAAAAAATTTTAAGGTATGACATTAACAATTCAGAAGGTAATTTATAATGAGGTTGCAAACCTTAAGGAGGGAAATGTAATTTTTCAAATGTGAGGAACGATCTATATTAAACAGAAACCTCAGGAGGTGTCAATGTAATTTACCCCAAATTTATTATGGAAAAGTTTATAATTTTAATTGTTAAAGTTGGTAAAATTTAACATTAATTTGAAATTGTTTTTGAAAATATACACTGATTTGACATTTTCTCAAAATAAAATAAATGGTAAGAAATATGCTTTTACTTTCATATCCCTTGTTTTTAAAATATAATAAATAATAAAAAAAATTTAGAAAATAATGAGACCAAAAAATTTATAACTCTTGAAATTCATGTTTTGTTTCCCGTCAAATTATAAAAATGTTTCTCGTCAAAATATAAAAATTAGGGAAACTTCTATTTACATACAACCAATCTCCTTCACTCAAATTATCCTTTTAAAATTTCAGCAATGCTACAGACCCCCACTGGGGATGACCCCCAGTGACCCCCCAGTGCCACGTGTCGGCCTGGGGTTGGCTGAAAACTCAAAAAAAAAAAAAAAAACTATTTTTTTTTGGACCAATGGGAGGTGACCCCAGTACCCCCACTGGGGGTCCAAAGCTTTATTCTTAAAATTTTATTGAATTATTATTGTGCTTATAAGGAAATTAGCATTGACACCTTCCCTCCCAACCCACTGTCGACAATTGTCACCTTCTCTCAACCCTACTATCTTGGCCCCTTCACAGGGAGCAAGGATCTTCTCCTTATCTTTCCTACTTCACTTACTTCACTTTCTCCTTACAATGGTCAAGATTTATTTTAAGAGAATTTAATGGTGTAGATCATTCTAAAAAAATTATTTTTTAATTTTTAATAAAGTAATCCAAGTCATTAAATTCTTTTAGGATGAATCTTAAGCATTACAAGGAGGAAGTGAAGGAGGGAATGCAAGGAGGGAATCCATGCTCCTTCGTAGGTACTCTATCATTATAAAATTAAAGAGTAATGTTAGACATATCAAATTTTTTATCAAATATATTTATCAAATGTTTTTATGAACGTAAGAT